TTTGACACAAACAGGAAATGATTTATGCAGACATCTTCGACGCAACTAATTTAAAACTTTTTTTCGCGCCCCCATCCAGCTCCCCCCACATTCGAATATATTTATATTTATAGGAGTGTTTATTCCGAACTATGTACTCAAGTACACACACACAAACATAGTACATATGTACATAATGCAGAATTGTTTTCCTTCAGTGGCCTTTGCTTAGATCTTGGCTAGCAGGCCAGAAAAAGGGATATTTGACTAGTCCTCCTTTGTGGGTTCCTGCGGCTCGGATTTCTGCTTGGGAAACACCATTTTGCTATTTGCTTTGGACTCGCACACACTCACAAGCTCCTCGCACAGCCTACTTCCCTTTGATGGGCGCGACTGGGACTGACTCTGACCCCAGGCAGTCATTAACTAATTGCAAACGAAGGAATTAATAAAAAATCAAAATCGCATTACATCACAACCACACACGCACTCGGTAAAAAAGGCAATCAATTTGATTGTATTTGATGGCGGCGGCCTTAGCTCCCATGCAGGGGCGGGGGGTGGAGGGGACTAAACCCAATTGAAGTCGCCCTCGGAAGCAAGACCATGAGCCATAAATCTTGAGCGCACTTGCGGCGCTCCGTGCCTCCGTGCCTCCAGCCCCGGATCGGCCGCCTGCTAATCCAGCTCCTCCCATTGCAATTCGCCTGAGTGTCCTGCCGGGCACCGAGTGTTCGGTCATAGCACAATGTCCAAAATGCACACTGCAAAAATACTCGAAATACAAAGGACCAAATTGAGAAAAAGAGCGATTCATCGTCGAGGGGCTACGGCTTTCGAATGCCCTACCTGGAGCTCTTCTTTGAGATGCTGAGATACTCTTCCGATGCTTATCTGGATATTCAAAATAAGATACTGTGCCAGGATATGCTTAAGCCGTTCAAGTCCCAGGATGGCTTCCATTTTTAAAGCACCTCAGCGAAAAAGCCCTTCAAACCTCTCCTCTGGTTCGCAGCAGAGAAGGAAAATGAAAGGGAATAAAAACTACATCCGAAAGCAGAGTGAAATCCAACTTCTGATGCTTTACGGGTAGGTCTCCATCCGACTCCGCCACAGCTCGTCCAGCCATGCGATGGCCATATTGCTTCGCCGGGGCTCGGATAGCCCGGGTGCATTAAAAATAAACGACTGTGGCCGGCGCTCAATTTGGAATGAAATTGGCGCAAATACCAAAAATGTATACAATGGGAATGCAGAAAAAAGGAATGGGAACAGTATTGAGAAGAAGAGCAACGAGGAGAGAAGAGAAGCTGAGAGCCACAGAACCAGAGCACAAATTGATAAGTTGGGTGGGTTTGAGCGATGGGTTTATCGGAGCACGTATACCCGTGAGTGAGTTTGGGGTCTTCTCACTTATAGCCGGCCATCGGGAGGGATCATTATGTGACAAATAATATTTGTAAAAAATGTACCTTAGACTCCCAACACTAGCTTGATGGGTTTCGCCGACGACGTCGGGACAGTGGCATTACCGAAGGAACTCGCCGCCATGGAGGATCTTGCTAACGTCCCCGACGCGGGACAGGAGCTGGCGGCCCAAAAAATGGGGACGGTCCAAATATCGAACCGGGAAGTGGTCGAGGCCGCCAGAGTGCAGGTTGGTGGGAACAACCAAGCAGTCCTCATCGACACGCGCCTTTCCTTCAAAGAGCACCTGAAGTACGACCACATGAAGGCTCTATCCAGGATGCTGCTGAACACCAGAGGACCGGCTTACGCAACGGGGAGGCTTCTAACGAAAGCCGTGACGTGGGCGGAAGCCGCGAAGGTGAAGAGCTCGACGGCCTAGTTCCGCTCAGGGAGCTAATAAGGGAAAGGAAGGAGGATCCCACCAAAGCCGAGTTAAAGGACGCCGCCCATGTGCTTGGTTTTGGCCAACGTCAAGTATTCTGTGTGTCTTACGACATTCTAGTACACTTCGGATTTTTGATAAATAATGGGTAAAGCATAGACTGTTCTTAAATGGCCGGCATTTCCACTATGTGGGAGGGATCATCGCCATTTCCCATAAGCTCTATCTCGATCTTATTGCCCGTCTGTTCAAACAACAGCTGTTCATCGGAGATATTACGCTGCACTTCTTCCAGTAAGTTCGCCAAGGATCCTCTTTGTCCACCGAATCCTGTTTCTGAGCTCTGCCCCACAGCCACAGCACCCGAGATGGACAGCGTTCGAGACCGAGATGGTAGCCTCTTCCGACCAACCACTTGAACTGAAAGCTTTCGAAATTTATTGTTTTCATAGTCCAACCATAAGTCCAGTACGTGCTGCTTTGTGAGACTATTCTACGTTTGTATTTGCTCTTCCTTGCGATTAAAGAAGAACTCAGTAGCTACGATCTCACTCCAACTCCGCATTACTTCTTCGTTCAGGCTCTTGACACTGGTACGGGAGACCTGAATGCCTCGATACGTCGGTCAACATGGGCAGCCGAATGCTAAGGGTACTACGGGTCAAAAGCTGATAAGAAAAAGACGCACAAGAGATACAACTAGCACACTCCAATAGTCAATGTCGCTGTACAAAAATATGTTGGCATCGTAAACTATTCTTGCACAAATATCAGCATTACTGTGCCGTTTGTGGCCAGCTTTCCGATAATGCAATCAATTTACCCTGTGTCTCATCGCGCTGCCTTTTCTTTGGCACCAATCAAAGACTGGCGATTGGGCGAAAAAGAAAACCTCCTCCGGCAGTACAATGTGCAACTTGCAAGCTGATTGCAAAGCTGGTTGATCCCAATGGATTTATTTGAGCCAGCACTCCTATCCAGCTGGAACCCACGGCTCAATCTCAGCCAGTTAATTTGACCAGGAACAACCCCAAAACTTGAGCAGCGTAAAATATGGCCATCCTTTCCCTGCCCAACTCTTTCCATCTCCATCTGCCTTGCATTGCGAGTTAATAGACTTTTCCCTTTTTTAATGCAAATTGGCGAGTGCTGGCTGGCATGGCAGTTGGAAGCGCGTTCGAAATCAAAGAGCGAAATGCACAAGAATTTGCAGCGAAATTTAATTACTCGCAGCAGCCGGACTCAAACTCAAACTAAGGCTCTGACTGAAGTCCAAAGGATGGAAATCTGCATAGCGGCAGAGATGCGCCAGTAGCGGAGCGGAGCAGACCTGGAGCCGGCACGTCCTTGCGAAGTCACTCCGGTTCATTTGTTTATGCATATTTTACGGCGCAAGACTGCACATTAACAGCTTCCCGCGAAGGGGGCCGGCGGAGGCAGCACAAGACGCAGGACATCCCGTAGTCGTAACCATTGTCGCTGCCTCTCTTGTTTCTGTTGCTATTGTGGCCCGAGCAAACAGACAGCTCGGCGCTCTCTATGCAATGCAATGCCTTAATGACCGTTCGACACCAGCTTCCCGATGCACAGTGGGACCTCGGGCCAGAAACCGAAACAAAAGTACAGAGTCGAGTCAAGTGAATAGACCCGAAGGATCCGATGGAAAATATAGATGCGAGGCGGATCCCACTATACTTCAGATTATATTCTTATGCAGTGAAACAGAGGCATTTTTAAATACCCTTTATTGCAGTGTGCAATCGCCAAGCCATGCCTTTTCACCCCATACTTGAACCCTGGTTGGATGGGAATTTCGTTTGCATATTCATTGGTCAGCCTTCCACGGTTCAAACATCCTGTGCTGGAGGGACGGCCTGGGAGTGGGGCTCCCCATCGTTCATACACTTGCTTTGAGCATAAATATTTTAAGTACTTTAAACAATTCATTAATTTACATTTAGCTTTTTGCCTCGATGTTTTTCGAGAGCTGCCCGTAGCCTGGTGCCCTGCTGGAAGAGTCTCGGGAGCTGGAGACAAAGGCGGAAGGGACCCTGGGAAAATGGGAAAATGGGATCGTAATGCGCAAGTGTCCGGTACAAAGTTTAGGGGAACCCCTAAGTAGTCGTAAGTACGTTGGCCAGAAGCAATCCGCAGTTCCTTAATGAACCAAATTAAGCAAATACAATATGTGGGCGACTCGGGCCAAAAGCCGGGGGCATTCTAGAGCTTATTTAGAGTAATTTGTATGCCAATCAGCGTACTCGTGTCTTTCTCTGTCCCATGAACTAATGGCCACAGTCTCGATCCAAAAAGCCGAAATGTTCAATCCATTTCTAGAGCAATTTCAATTTTGAAACTGATTTGGTCTCGGCCTGAGAGTGGGCACTAATTTCATTGTCCGTAGGTGTTTGCAAATTAAGCACTAAACACATACATATGTATGTACATGTGTACGGAATGAACATGAAATCGAAAAACTAGTGGTCTTCAGCTGGAGATGAACTCTTAAACACTGGCCGGTAATTGCCAAGAGCAACAATACTGCCAGGACAGCCCCACTCCTCTCTCGGTGTGCAATTTTCCCATTGAAGCCATCAGTGCTGATTTTCTGAACAACCCTCCTCTGCTGCCGCCACTAATTGCAGCAACAATTGCAATGAACTAAACTGAATCTGAAAGCAGAACTAGAACCAGAAAGGAAGATGGACTACAACTAGGCCACAAGTCGAACGTAATGCTCGTGTCTGGGAGGGGGCGGAAATGGCGAAAAGCGAGGATCTGGGGGGATAACCAGATGGGCGCATTTCACAAATTATAATCGTCATTTGTCAGAGAGGCACTGCACTCGGACGAGACCCGCAGTCGGAGCTCGGGCTAGGAGCGGACTGGGACTGGGACTGGGACTCGGAATCGGACTCGGGCTTGGACAGTCCTTCACCCAGATTCCAGCGCCTGGAGTGGGAGACCCAAAGGGTGGGGCATTTTCCTTCAGATTTTTATTGACACATTGAAATGACAGGGGACAAGGCTGAGCTGGGCTGAGCTGAGCTGGACTGGGCTGCACAAGAGGATGGCAAAATACCCAATAAAGTAAATTATCAATGCACTTGGGCGGACGGCATTAGAACAATTAGCAGTTAATGGACGTTGATAAAAGACATATTATTCCTTTTACATCTTTATATTCACAAACACACAACTAATTATAGTCTATGCCCATTTAAAATAGATTTCTGGTGGCCGTGTCAGGCCCTACGCCTGCAACGTACCCCGAAGAGCTCCAAGCCAGGACGACACTTCTGCATGGTGTCGAACAGCATTGGTCCGAAGGCGTCGCGCATGGTCACACTGAGGTCTTCAATGTGGCCGATGTCGCAGCTGGCCATGAGCGGGCCCTGGGCTAGCAGGCCCGCACAGGGTGTTCCGTAGACCAGCTGCTGGTCGAATATAGACACTGCCACACAGAGACGCACTTGCTGCAGCTGCAGGAGCCAGGGAATCACCAATTGCCAGTTGGCCTGAGTCCACTCCAAGTCGTCTTCGGCGCTGGCCATCAGAAGTTCGTTGCCGGCCATGAGATCGGAGTCCGGAACGGGGACGAGCTGGTGCAGAGAGCTATGAAAGCAAAAACTGTACAGGACGAACAGCTGGAAGCGTAGGTGACTCATGGTGAGATAAGTGTTCCTATAACTCCCCATGGAACGGCTTTACTTCGTTCTCGATCGACTGTTTGGGACGGCTTCTGCCAGCCAAATGCTAATCCGTATAAACTGCCGAACCTCGGCGACTCATACGTGATATTCGAGTGTCTGGAGAGAAGCAGGTTCGCTCTATGCGGACGTATCAGTCGGCACGAAGCGAAACGGATCCGTTGACTCTGGAAGAAGATTCGCGGAAGGTCTGGAGCTCAGAATCACACTATCCAGCCATGGGAATCTTTGTTGACATTTTCCGCAACCACTGTCGAACCTTGGCTGCTTTTACCCATTTCACAATTTGCGTTGCAGCTACTTCGAAATGTTTGTTATTTAATTCAGTTTCAACTTCGGGCAAGCTTCCTACGTGACTTTCGGTTGCTTTTGAGTGCAGCACGTGGCAGCCACAGCGGCTGCCTGTGATTCATCTCTCTCTCCATGGGTATACCCTTTCAGAGGAAATTACTTCTTTTATCGGATCATTGTAGCACATATAAGGAACCCTACATATTCTCTATCTCACGAGTCGGTATCTGTCGCCCATTCCCCGGCAATTTCATTAATTTAAAATAATTGCTGATCTCTATTTTTCTTCTCTATGTACATTTATAGTTTAAGTACTTACTTGAGTGCAGGAGTACACTAATGTCCATTCATGGAAGTCGAAGTGCAAGTGTATAGGAGCTTCGATGACTCTTTTTCCGTGATATCGCCAACTGCAAATGACGTCAATGTTTGACGGAAAATATAAAAGCAAATTAAAATATTTATAATTTCGCTGGCTTTAATAAATGGTCACTTAGCAAACCAACATTTTCTTAAGACTTAAAAAAAGTTGAGTTCCGAGACTGAAAATTGAAGTACGTCAAAACTTACAGAAGTAATAGTATTCCGTCTCTGGCTTAAAACATTCTTCATTGGTCAAGACTTTTGAATTAGATTTGGTATGTTTTGTAAATTGGTTAATAAGGAATAATTTTTATTCTGTACCATTTTAAATATGCCTCTTCAAAAGCCAGGTAATTGGTCATAATTGAGGTGTCCATAGTGCTGTGACACACTTCAGAAAAGCAGAAAAACATTTGCACAGATACTGCCCGAATTGTTCCATAAATCCCTGCCAAAAATTTAAACCAATAAATGTGCTCGAAGGCCCTTCAAAAGATGGGTGGGGGGCGCGCGGAGCCCAGGCAGTACCGAATTAATGGGATGTGGGATAGGGATGCGGATATACCGTAGACCAACAGCTGTCGCCTGGGCCCGGTATTACGGAAAAACAGCCGAAATGGAAAAGGGACCAAACGTCAAACGTGCCACGCAAAAAGCCAAGCGAACATAGAAATTATAATTTTTTAATAATAAAACATACACAACGAGGGCGGAAAATATTGGTAGTACGTTCCGGTCGAGGGATGGGTTTCGGCATGGGGGATAGTCTCCGCCCACTAACACCGCAAAAGGAGAGCGAAAATGGCGCAAAGGCCTCTGCCCGGTCTATGTGGGTCCGGAAACAAATTACAGCAAACAATTTAAAAAATGTTGGCAAACAAATAGGAGCCAGGAGCAGCAACAAAAGTGTGGCCAGAGGAAGGGGATGACGGAAATGTTATCTGGCCAACAAGACAACGGCCCTAAAACCGGATGTACAGTGGAAGGGACTCCGGCTATAACTCTTAAAGTAGTCCAGAAATAATGGGAAAAATATTATGTTTTCATCATAGCCGGAGTATGGGAACTGTATGCCTGTTTCAGCTCTAAGCATCGAATCCTCCACGAGGGAGTACCACTGTAGCACAGACGGGCTGGGCCAAACAACAGTCGGCCAAGATAAAAGCCCTTGCTGTGCCTACACTGCGTCCGCCCCATTGTTCCCTGGGAGTCCACTCCTTGCCAGATATGCTCTTGCTGCTCTAACCTTTTCGTTTCACTTAGTTAAGCAAAAAACAAAATTTTTATTAGCCAAATGCATAAATGAATAGAAAATAGTTAAACAAAAACCGAATGCATGGCAGGACGAAGTTCAGCAGAGGACGGAGGGCAGAGGGCCACCGAGACCAGGTGCCTTGTGGTCCGGACATTTTGCTGCTCCGTTTGCTATTTTTGGACTCCAAGGAAAATCTGTTGGTCTCAGCAGAAAAGCACCCCTGGTCGCTTCCCGTTGTTTCCTAATATTGTTAATATTGTTTTGCAAAATATGAAAAAATTATTTAGCATTTAATAGAACTAATAGCCGATATAGAAGTACATATGTGCTGCCAGTACTGCCAAGCTTGGGAAGCAAACTTTTTGCGGTTGAAAGAACTCATCCCATTTTTAAAAGCTTTGCAATGTTTCGGGCATTAGGAAGTTTCACAGCAAATGGAGTCTCCTCCCCACTGCCCCACCGCACAGCCCCACCAACGCAAGGCACAAACTTTTTGCTACATATCAATTAACAAATAATATACAAGTTGACAAACAGAAAGCCCTGAAGGCAAAACTATCTAAAAACTTGCACATGGAAACTTGTTTCGCCAAGCAAATCAGAAAGCCATCATCCAGGGTCCGGGCGTAGGGCGTCGACGAGCCCCCATTTGCATTTCAGGCCAATGAAGAAGTGGAAGAGGTACTGGTCCTGAGTACTCGTAGATGTGGATGGGAATGGGATCCAAGCAAATTCCTGCCTCGCCCACTTTAAAAGTAATTTATCTTTTTTGCGCCTCGTCCATTGGGTACGTACATACACACATACACACACACACACATGCATACATGTATGTGCAACATGCAATTTGCATAAAACTTGCTGCTGCATGCTGCCTTGGACCCTTCGGCATTAAATCCACTTTGTTGCCAGGCCTTCGCCCGTCCTTCGCCCGGCCTTCCCAGCTCCTATGTCGTCGCCGATCCTCTTGTTAATTGCGACACTTCCTGGCGAATAGGTTTTCAATAAGGATGCTCCACAGCCACCCGTACATATAATTCTTTTGTTTCAATCACTCCCCTAATGACTTTTCATTGTTGGAGTATGGGGCAAGTACGAGGCACAAATTTGTGTCAACTACCACCGAAAGTGGGTCCTCCACAGCGTACGAGTGGAAAAGATGGTGTAAATATGTTAAGCACCAGCTGGTCCTTTATCCATCCAGCTTATCCATACTTATCAGGAGCACAGTAGGGGCGACAGTTCATAGGGGGAGAGGCGAGATAACTGTGGATTTATTGGTGTATTGAGCCAGCTCAATTAATTATGAGTCCTGTGCTGTTGCTGTTCTATATGGAAACACTGGATTCTTTGCCTAAGTTTCGCACCTCCTTCAAGGTATTGCAACTTAAAAAGGATGTGCACTTTGGGAAATGAAAATATTCAAATAAACAAAGACGCGCCAACATTCCCCACAAGAAACACCTCCCATTTAAATGTTTGTCCTTTCTAATAACGCAAAGTGCTTTTGTTCTATTTTCTAGAACACACTTGATTTTAAACAATTTTTGCTGCGGCTCGCCTCGACCGGAACATGAAAAGCGGACCCCGAGAAAGCACTCACACATACATATGTACACATGTATTTATGTATGTATGTATGGTTCATATTTGTGGCATTTTGTTGAGAACAGAAAGCCCAAACAAACAAAATTACGAAATGAGAGTTGCCACAAAAAGGGAAATAATAAACCGCCTAAAAGGCGCCATTGGCTGCCAGTGAAGAAGGGGAATTCATCCGTTAATTATTTAAGGCTCGCGCGACTGCGACTCTCTCCTACGCCTGCAGACTCTCTCCGTCTGCATATTTGTCCGCGTTCGTTGAACGTATTTTCAATTAACGGAACAACACTTGGATGGTAGCCCTCTCCCTGCCCCTGGCCCCACCCCTGTTGCGAACAGAACTTTGATTTGTTTAATTAAATTACACTCAGACAGAGGCCTTCAATCATTCACAGTTTTCCAATCACTCATTGGCTCAATCCCAATCCCCAGCCCAACTTCAGCCATAGTCAACACTCGTAGTGCGCGCCTGGGAGTGAGTGTCCACGAATGAGTACGTACATGAATGAGTGGGTGTCCGTGTTTGTGATTTAGAAGCAAACACTCGTCTGGCCAGTGGCCACCCATAGTTTGAATAAGCACTATAGCTTGTTCCAGTACATCTTGTACAACGGCAATGCAGGCCAGTGTGTTTTTTGCGCCCAGTACCCGCTTTGCTGGGGTCCGATGAATTGGGGCTGAATAGTTAATTAGCGTGAATCAATGAAGGATAAGCTTGGGGCCAACAATGCGACAATCAGAAGCGAAAACCTGTGGCATAAGCACACCACCCCGCCTGTCTCTCGCCCCATCTTCGAACACATGTACATATTTATTATACATATTTGATACTAGGTGGCGAGCGCGATTAATCGCGATTTATCAAGAATTTACGTGCAGAAACTGTTTGGCGACATGCTCAGACATGCTCAGACATGCTCAGACATGGTCAGACATGTTAACAGCATGTTAACCGCTCGCTGTTAACACTCGCTGCTACGACTCTCTGAGAACGCTGGGAGATCGCGTGTGCCCGTTGCTGAAAGGCGCCGTTATTCGTTATAAATGCATCACATTCGTTTTCAATCGGATACTTCTCGGAGCCCATAAATATCATATGCTTCAGAAAATGTGCCATTAACTAAAGGATCCCACGTTCACAGGCACCGCACAGGCAGCTAGTTTTCCATTAAAATTATCCATCGATGGATTGCACCTCTCACCACCACTGGCCCCCACTGTGGGCATGATGGCGCACATCCTGTGTGTGTTCTGCATTATTCGTATGATCTGATATCAGCATGGCATGCAATCCATTCGATAGAGTTTCCTGTCGCCATCGGACATTTATCTTAAGAATTTAAAGGGGAACATACTGACTTAACATACCCTCCATTCCATAACACAATATACATAGTACATATTTACCCTTTGAAAGCGCATAGCCTGTCCAACGAGATCTCGAAGCTCATATGCTCTCTTGTGGCTTCCAACAAAAATTTAACTGTAACTACTTATATTGTCTTTGGCTAGAGGTTTGATTGGAGCAGCACAGGCTATAGGGTACACCTTGCATCAACCGTTTAGGGTATTATGCTCGGATTATAATTGCCTCTACCATATTATATCCACAATTCTATCTATAATTCCATTCGACTTCTTAAATTACTCGCGTAATCGCATGGAAAATCCTTCGCTTATCCGTGGTTAAACTTTGGAATGAAGCCATATTAGCGGCGAAGTATAATTAGCCTACAATTATTTGAACAAATTAACGAACAAGCTTTCAAAGAAATCTCGTGGCGTTTAAATTTTCTTGGGGCAACTTGTGCGGTCTCATGGGTGTTTCTATTTCCAATTGAGTTTTCATCAAAGACTCTCCCGATGAAAAGTAAGAAAATGGAGGGACCGTGAGAATGCAGGAGCCAAAGACAGACACAAAATGCACCGTGACCTTGTGCAAAATGGGTGGGTAATAAATAGTTTGCAGAGACTGCCTGCCACTAACATGTGCTCCGAAAATTGCACCAGACCGAGGGGTGGTAAATAATAGTCAGCACAATTTTTAAAATTGCAAAAAATTGACAGGTTCCTTCTGCAATTTTGTGGCTTGGCCTTAAAATAAAAAGCTAAAGAAAGATAACTGGAGAATGACATTTTAAGAGGAGTCTGAAGACCTGAAACACTTTTAGTTCATTTTGAGTCAGCTACCATTAATGTTTCAAATCATACGATACGTCAACTTTAGTTAGATCAAGATAACATTCATAAAACTGATTTATCAAACGCTTATTCCGAACCTTTCAGACAATTCACATTTAAACAGTTTAGATCAACGCTTCAGGGGCCCGTTTACACACCACAACTGACTAAAAAATGGGCGAAACTGAAGCGAACAAAAACTATTCAGAGCTTATCGGCAAACAATAGACCATTGAATAAATATCAAAAGCAAATAGCCATAAATATTTGGTCTCTACCCCAGTGCTCTCCCCGTTTTTCAACAATTTTTTTATTAGATTTTCACCGCTTTGCACAGGGCGGAAAAATATTTAAGCCATTCGACACGAAAACAAAAACGGGTAACAAAAAATGAGAAAAGCGAATCATTTATGCCGCTTTAAAACCCGCAAACGACAGTCGGAAAGCCAGGGCCGGCTTTCTGGCCTGTCCACAGGGTTCTACAAAGGATATTCCATGAGCGACAGGAATGGCAATACGATACATAACGTAATAACGGTAACGTGTAGACTTTTACGACATAGAAAAACGCGCAAGGCGCGAAGCTTTACGATGCCCGCATCATTTGATTTTATTGCCAAGTGTCGGGAAAAAGGAGAGAACCAATAGCTGAAGAGGTGGAGGCATGACAGGCATGGAGCAGACAGAGACACAGATATACATAGGAGAGTGGGGTCACCGTTCCCTGTAAGGGAAGGCGTCCTTGAGCCAGTTGTTTCTGATTAATGCCATCCGACCTGAAGGATGCAACGGAGCTCGGCACGAAATGCAAATCACCCGGCGGAATAATCAAATCGAGAACGAAACCGGGCAAAGCGCCATCAAAGTTGACGACGAACGGAAGCTGCAGCACAGAGGGAACACACAATGGCAGAGCCCGAGGGCAAAGGACGAAGACGATGGCGATGGCGATGACGATGACGCTGACGTGGTTTGGATGGAAGCGTGCAGTATTTCAGGTGTTCGGATGGGCAGGTGCATTGGGGCGTGGCAAGGCCAGTAAAATCAATTAATTTAAAACATTTTCTATGCACTCGTTGACATTCGCACTGGCAGGCCCGGCGGCTTGTACTGCTCGTACTGCTGCGGAATCGTAGAATTGAAATTCACAAATATTTGCATGATTTGCTTGTCTCCTTTTCCTTGATATTTCACATCCATTGGCATTTTCTATTTACTGGCCGAGTCCAGGACTAAGACTGTCTCATGGTTTGACAGTTTATTTCGTGGGATTTTCCCAGTGAACGAAAAGTTTGCAAAATTGTTGCATACTCGTACTCGTACTTTCTGGCGTGTGAGACACTGCCAAAGATGGTCGGAAATACATTTGAATTCGCTAGGAAAAGTGCATTGTCGGTTTGCGGTAGATATATTTACACCTTTTTGGTTTTGTATTTAATAAACCAGTGTCAAGTATTCCGTGTGTCTTACGACATTCTAGTACACTTCTAATTTTTGATAAATAATGGGTAAACACATAGACTGTTCTTAAATGGCCGGATTATCCACTATGTGGGAGGGATCATCGCCATTTCCCATAAGCTCTATCTCGATCTTATTGCCCGTCTGTTCAAACAACAGCTGTTCATCGGAGATATTACGCTGCACTTCTTCCAGTTAGTTCGCCAAGGATCCTCTTTGTCCACCGAATCCTGTTTCTGAGCTCTACCCCACAGCCACAGCACCCGAGATGGACAGCGTTCGAGACCGAGATGGTAGCCTCTTCCGACCAACCACTTGAACTGAAAGCTTTCGAAATTTATTGTTTTCATAGTCCAACCATAAGTCCAGAACGTGCTGCTTTGTGAGACTATTCAGCGTTTGTATTTGCTCTTCCTTGCGATTAATGAGGTACTCAGTGGCTACGAACTCACTCCGATTCCGCATTACTTCTTCGTCCAAGCTGGTGTCGTGTAGTCGATGCGTTGTTGTACGATCAGACTGTAGCCCATTTGTTCTTAAGTGCGCAGCTGGTTGAAAAAGGGTTCTTCCCAAATCAACTCTACCGGATCCATCAGGAACTCCACTGAGATCATCTGGTCCAATTTGCTAGTTGTTTGTTACAATAGTATTCGTATCCTTGTGCTTTAAGGTTTATCTTCACTAAGCTATCGTCCAGTGAGAATGGACTATCTGATTTTTGGCTATTGTAAGTGGAAAGGACTTGTTGCATTGTCTCACGCGCTTTTTCTTGAGTAAAGCTTCCCTGTATGAGTCCTTGGGCGTACAATTTCTTGTGCTCGATGTCATCCCCGGGTCTGTTATCGATTGATTCATATTTCTCTAGCATACCAAATGGTCTATTCTTTAAGATCATTAAACACAGTGCAAGTTTTAAAATCTTTCCACCTATGGATGCCTGGAAAAAACTAGGCCACAAACTAAGCTCTGTCGCCTGCCTGAGGAAATGTTGGAACAAGCTCGATGAGAAATACTACTTCAGACGATATGACTCGCTATTTTAATATGTGCATTGAAAGAAATATTGTACTTAGTAAGTGTACTGAATGATTTTAATGAATATGATTTGTTTCGTTATTTTTATCAGATCATTATGCATACAATAAACGTAATATATAAAAGTTATCTCTCTTGCACTCAATTAAGTTATACGTAATGTAGAATATATGTTGTATAGTATATATCGCAATCAAATCGTTACCTCATTTCCATAAAAGATATTGTTAGGACATAGAGAAATCTACCCAAAGACCAACAAATTAAACAAACAATATAAAGGAACATTTTATAAATTATTTTGGCGTATCTGAAGAGTTAATTTAGAGGACATATTTCAGCTTAAATTCTTGACAGAGCCGGCGGAATTTTGGTTATCAGTTATCAGATTGTATCTTTGCTTGTCTGGAGGATCTATGAGCACATATGTACGTAACAGAGATTCGACCACATCTGTTCTCTATGAAGTTATCAAGTTATACTTTCAGAATTTGTTTCTTTTCAACTGATCGGTCGTGATCACAGGATACAAATTAGTTCGTTTTTGGGCAAATTAAAGCAAACCAATAGAAGGATTCAATTTGATTGGGGCTTGGTTGGTTTTACCACTGCTGCTGGTAGATGGGAATGTTGTTCTTGACGGCATCGTTCTGCATGTGATAGCCAGGCGCAGCTGCGGGCTGTGTCGCCATGCCCATGATGGCCGTTTGCTGATGCACCTGACTAAATTGATCGTGTGGCGTGAGCTGATGCTGATGCTGCTGCTGCTGTGGCACGTAGCTCTGTTGGGTGACTGCCGGAGAACCATTCGGTGCATACAGATGCGGTTGGGGCTGCTGTGGTGTTGGTCCGGGCTGATATCCCTGCGGCGGCCCCGGCTGCATGTAAGCATGAGGGGGCGGTTGTGATTGCTGTTGCTGGATCTGTGTAACTGCGGGCGGAGCTTGGGCAAACTGCTGCTGCTGGTCTTGTATTGTATTGTAGCCTGGCTGATGCTGCTGTAGTGGCGCTGCTTGCTGCTGCTGGTGGGTGGACACGGGTGCTGGCTGGGCATTATAGAGGGGCTGGGGTGCAGGTGCAGCAGGGTTTAGCTGTGGCAGATGGGGGGGTAGCGCTGGAAAAGAAATTAGTGGGTATACATCGGACGATCAGTTGTAACGAGATGCTCTGTCAGCAAGTGCTTCACTTACAGGTCATCTGCGCTGCGTGTCCATTCTGAAAAGTCAGCGGCACCTGACTCTGTTCCAGGTAACCAGCCGGAGCTGTTGTCGGGGGCGGAACATTTGTTGGGACGTTGGGTACGGGGGCATAAGGGAGCGAGTGCATTCCTGGATAGCTTTGGTGCGGGGGAAAGCCACCCGCACCGGGATAGCCTGGCGCTCCGTACAGAGCGGCTCCCGGAAAGCCGGCTAGGCCCGGCATGAAGCCTCCAGCTGCTGCAGCAAACTGTCCCGCGACGGCCCGATCATCCCTCATCAGACCATGATAGAGATTTATGGCATCGACAAGATCACTTGACAACTGCGTCAATTGGGCGTGCTTACGATCCACTCGCTCTAGTTCGGCGTCAATCAGAGGACCCATTTGATGAACCTCCTGCTCTAGCCGGAGCATTTCGTCGCTATCCTGCGAGGGATCTTCGGGATTTGCCTCGTGGAGTAGATGCAAAAGACGATCAATCTTAGCTTCGTCGATCTCCACGGGCTGAGCAGAGGCAGCAGCTGCTGCTGCGGCTGCAGCTGTGGCATCAGTCTTTTGCTGCAAAGTCGTTGCGGAGTCCACATCCTTCTGGGCAGCTCCTGTCTTGTGCTGCTGATTGATGTCCAGGCGCTCGGGATCCACAGATAAATCGGCAGTGACGAAATTCGAGGGGAAGAGTCCCTCTCCTCGTTGATTGAAGCCCTTCCACCAGTTGGGGTCGCTGTCATCCAACACATGGATAATCTCGCCAGCGAAGAACGTGAGTTCGTTTTCCTCCGCAGCCTCAAAATCATACAGAGCTCGAACTTTTCTTGGCTCGGGAGCTGGGGCTTGGTTTTGGTTTGGGTTTGCATCGTTGCTTGCGGCGCTGGAGGCCCCTCCGAACGACGGATACAACGATGGATAGGCACTAGAGTTCCCTGCACTCGCAGCACTTCCACTGACAGCCTTGGGACTACTCTTGCCCTCTTTCAGCGACAGTTCTATGGCCTTGGCAATGTCATCCTCCTCTTGCTGGCTGCTCACGACATTGGGGTCTTTTGGCAAATTGGCCGCCTTGTCTGCAGCTGTTTTGCTACTCTTTTCGCCAAGATTCTTAAAGTCGTAGCCTTCTAGACGCAGCTTGGTGTAGAGAGCAGGAATCAAATCCAGTTCCCGATCGTTCTTGTAATCATTTTCAGCCCAGTTCTTTAGCACTTGGCGCATTTTCTGGAATGCATAAGGAGTAATGACAGAAAATGATAACCAGTCTTACTGCTTCCGTGATGTATTTTTGTTGGGTGTATTTACCAGCGTCACCTTTGGCTCTGCCCGGGTCAACAGCCGTCGAAACTCGGTTTCGAAGTCACGTGAGGCAACCTCCAGATGAAAAGGCTTGCCACAATTGTTGGAGCAGGCGTCCAGCAATGTGATCGCCTGCATTACCACATGGGGATCGTTGTGGCCCATGCGCCGCATCACCGCCTTGAGGCAATCCTTAGCCAGACGAGGATTTGTGGACACCTTATCGCACACATCGAGAATTAGAGACCAGTTGTCGTTCGTATTTGTCTCGCTTGTGGCTTTTTCTATAAGTTAGAAACAAAGAAATGGCACTGACTTATCAGTATTGCGAGCAATTGAACGTGACTCACTCAGCAAAATAAAGGGACAAGAACAAAGATAAGCGGAGCGGACCGGAATTGATTATAAATAATATACAAAAATCCATAGAACCCGCAGCAAATTGTATTAGGCGCAGGTGGGGGTGGCACGCCAGAGACAGACAAACACGTCTATGTGGTCTACGTCACTCAAGGTCAGCGACTGCAGTTGAAAACTTCGTAAATAAGTTCAACGAACGACGCAAAGCTGCGCACAGCATCGCATCCCCTCACATGACTGGGGCATGCTGTCTTTGTTGTCTGCCCGACTTTAACGAGAGGGGCCGGAAAGGGATTGGAAGGTATCAACGGTGTAGCCATCTTCACAGATTAGATTAGAAGACAAATGGCGGTGACTGTGGTCAGCTATGGATAGTTCCAATTGAAACCAGGTGAGGCAGACTTACCCACATCGGCGTCAAACAGCGACGATTGCCCGAAAATTCCCATTTCTTTGACCAAACGAGCGCTCAGCTGCCTGCCAACTATTTGTGAAATTGTTCCAAATGATTTTTCCAATTGTACTTTGTATTGTTGTTCGTTCTGCTCTTGATTTTCTTTGGTCTCGTCTCTCTTCTTTGCAATCGATTTTCAGTGCGTCACAAACTGGTATTTGGACTGGGTTCGCCGGCCGAATCTATTTCTTTATTATTTTCAGGGGATACGGATCTACACAAAGTATACTAATTAGTTTAAATGAAAGAACAAACGCTCTGCATTCGCTTAATTTACTTATTTTTTGCGTGTTGTTGTGTGTAAAAAAATGACTAATAATGCAGTGTGACCGCGGACTTATGGATCAAATATACCGTCTGACACTCAGAAATATACCGTATCATGTTCAAAATATACCGTAAATATACTGACGAAGCTGCATCATATTCCCCGTTTTAGATATTCCGTCAAATATTACTAGCCAGATAGAAGCCTCAGCCCTGCACATACAATTTTATCCGATTAATGACTCAATTTTCTAATTGACGGGCCTCAAAATTGCTAACGATAAGTGTGGCCGTTGATGACTAGACGAAAAAACGACAACCAAATTTTTTATCGATACCTTTTAACAGCACGAATGTGCGACTCCAGCCAAATTCGTGATTTACATGAGTAAAAATTTTGCAATTACTTTTCTAATCTCTCTCTTCCGACATAAAAAATCGAGGCCTAGTGGAATACAAATTTGTTTTATAAATACATCTTTATTAAAGATTACTTGTGTTGTGACAAGTGACAGGTAAGGTTATTGTCAACATTTGGCATTTTTCGAAAACGGGCACATTATTTTCAGCATTTAAATAAACAACAAAAAGCGCGCAAAAAAGTAGGCTTATGTGGTATATGTAAGGTATATTTCCAAACTGTAGCGTATTTCTGGGTATATCTCTGAGGGTCAGACGGCATAGTTGATCAATTTGATCCGCGGTCACACTGAGGAAAAGGACGCCGCAAGAAAAAAATTGAAATTCAAATTTAAATTTTAAAATTAAAAACTAAGCAACTGTATCAGAGCCATGACACTCTTACGTTCTAAGCACGCCAACCGCAATCATTTGCCGGCATTAATGAGCAAAGTGCCGGATGAGCACCATGAGCCAATTAAAAATATGTGCCTAAAAATGATGTCTCATGATGCCTATGGACAGCCGTGAGTATTGGATTAGTAACGCGAAGCTGTCTTCTAATCTTGGTCATCCGCAGCTACGAATGGAGCTCTCGCGACTTCGAAATGGGCGCTCACTTGGGGAGAGGAAAATTCGGGCGCGTCTATTTAGCCCGAGAGCGCTACTCGCATTATTTGGTGGCGATGAAGGTGATGTTCAAGGAGGAACTACGCAAGGGAAATGTTCAGCGTCAGGTGCTCCGTGAGATAGAGATCCAGTCGCGACTCAAGCATCCCAATATTTTGAGACTTCTGACATGGTTTCACGACGAGAGCCGGATCTACCTGGCTCTGGAGATCGCCTCGGAGGGAGAACTATTCAAGCATCTGCGTACAGCGCCCAATAATCGGTTCGATGAGCCGCGCTCTGCGAAATACACCTACCAAGTGGCTAATGCCCTGAACTATTGCCATCTGAACAACGTCATTCACAGAGACTTGAAGCCCGAGAACATTTTATTGACAGGCACGGACGATCTAAAACTGGCCGACTTTGGCTGGTCAGCACACACACCCAACAACAAGCGCAGGACCCTTTGCGGAACACTGGACTACCTTCCCCCGGAAATGGTGGATGGCACTTCGTACGATGATACTGTCGATCAATGGTGCTTGGGGATTCTGTGCTACGAGTTTCTCGTGGGCTTCCCGCCCTTCGAATCGAACAGCGCGGAGAACACCTACCAAAAGATCAGGCACCTCGAGATTCATTACCCATCGCACTTATCAAAAGGCAGCAAGGAACTGATCGCTGGGGTAAGGCGTACACTTCTTTATACTGTGAACGACTTCTTTAATTATAATTCATTTTCTTGTAGCTACTACGAAAGCAGAGTAATGGCCGGATCTCTTTGGTGGATGTGATGACCCATCCTTGGGTTAAGGAGGGCATGGCCGAGAGGGAAGCACAACTGCGGCTGAGCGAGCGTGGCAAGGAGAACATGGCGAAAAATTAGAATTCATTTGATACATGGAGTAATTTAAACTAATTCACAACTGCGGCTGAGCGAGCGTGGCAAGGAGAACATGGCGAAAAATTAGAATTCATTTGATACATGGAGTAATTTAAACTACTTTATTATTATCATTATTAAAAGCAATTTTCATTTCAATGTCGCAAAAATTTTCAGTTGCATTTGAATCACACTGGATACAATACTGGACTAGACTGCAATGAGTTTCATTCGGTATTTTTCAGAGAAAAAGTATTTTTCCGTCTTGTTTTGTTTTACTTCCCCTCGACGGTCACACTAAATTAAATGACAATTTCAAGCAACAAAAAAAAACAAGAGATGAAAAATTCCTGAATTATACCAACTACAATAGTATAGGAGGACAGTGCAAACACAACTGGCGATCCCGCTCAAGCAGCCCGGACGCTGCCCACGCCAGTACTGATAAGTACGGGCCGAGACAGCAACCCTAAAGGGAGTTTAGCAACAATTGTTATTTTCCGTCTAGCCTTTGGTGGGGGACACGAAATCAGCCGCGTTCGGTTTTTAATTTAATTAAAGAGAAAAACCGATACGATAGCGCGCGGATTGACGGCGAGGTCGCCGAGTCACACTGTGCTATGGTCTTTATTCGCGATCCCTGTGGCATTGCCTGTCTGGTGATGACCTACGGCGCTGTACTGTATGCTGACTATGTGGTCATTCGTTGGATCATCCTCACCACTATGCCCGGAAGGTGAGCTGTGACTGCCAATGGCGGTAATGGACGGGCTTGAAACTATAATGACATCTCTTCATTCTCGGCCCTGTAGCATTTGGACCTCGTTCCATGTTGTGCTCTTCAATACGGTCGTCTTCCTACTGGGCATGTCCCATACCAAGGCCGTCTTCTCCGACCCGGGCATCGTACCCCTGCCAGCCAACCGCTTGGACTTCTCGGATCTGCACACCACAAACAAGAACAATCCAGTAGGCAACGGACACAGCAGCGAATGGACAGTCTGCACTCGCTGCGAGACCTATCGACCTCCGCGGGCCCACCATTGCCGGATCTGTAAGCGGTGCATCCGCCGAATGGATCACCACTGCCCCTGGATCAATAATTGCGTGGGCGAACGCAACCAAAAGTACTTCCTACAGTTTCTCATTTACGTGGCCGTTTTATCGCTTTACTCCCTGGGCCTAATTGTTGCCTCTTGGGTGTCGCCCTGCGAGGAATGCAATCAGAATGTGATTGAGTCACAGTTGAGAATGTAAGTTGCATCTCCGGAAGCCCCACACAGAAAACTCTCCTTTTTGGTGTGCCCAGTTCTGATCTGCATACAAATTAGTTTTTTACTGAGAGCTGTGCGTTCCAGTACTGTAGTTTTCACCTTCCTTTTCAGGATTCATTCCGTCATCTTGATGCTGGTGTCGGCTCTGTTCGGGCTCTTCGTTACCGCCATTATGGTCGATCAACTGCATGCTATACTGTACGATGAGACGGCCGTCGAGGCGATACAGCAGAAGGGAACCTATCGGCCAAACCGACGCAAATATCAGCTGCTGGCCGATGTGTTTGGACGTGGCCACCCGGCGCTGTGGCTGCTGCCGTGCACCAGCCTGAACCACGCCTCCCGCTACCACGACACGCCCCTGCTTAGCCACGATGTCTAGGCCGTGCGTGTGTTTGTGTGTGATACGCATATGCAAACCCCATTATAGCCTTCCGGATAACTTGAAGTCCCTCCTCTTGTTTCTGTATGAATTGTGTGCTTCTGTGCGTGCGCAGCCTCAGAGTGTTTTAGTTTTTAATTTTCGTGTGATTTTTTTAAGTAGTCCAGCACGTTTAACTTCACCGTACAGAAAGTCAGATCGATTCCAGTTACGGAATATGTATTATTCGCCGATTCCAGACTTAACTTAATTTATGCTTTAGTTTATAATCAATTGAAATTATAAATATATGTAGAAGAAGCAGGAGATCTGAGCCAGGGAGAGTAGCATACTCAAGACGGATGCGGATATTTTATAAACCACTTTTTGCAATTGCTTGTTTGAAAACGCATGCGTAGATATACACCGATGTGGACGAAAACCATTGAGATCTTCGGCAAACCGAAGTCTGCACAGTCTCTGTACCCTTGCCGATCTGATCATTCTAATCTGAGTCCTAAAATATCTCATTTGTATAAACTACGATGTAGCGATCGTCCGCTTTACTGTTTTGTATTCATTGTACGGGAAGAAAGGAGCTTGGAAGCAAGGGTATGGGATGGTATGTGGGTATGGAATTTTTAGCAGAGCATTTAATATGAAACCGAATAAGAAAAGTAATCCATATACCAAAAACCAAACAAAATAACCATTTATACATACATGTACGTGTGTACGAGGGTAGCTTGGGCGGCAAAATGTGCAGTAATAGTTCGTATTAAATGTAATCAACTTTAAGGATTAATTAGCGTGAATGTGAGGCAATGACTTTTGTTTTTATTAAAGTTTATTTTCCTTCCATTTCCTCCGATTTCTTTCATCATCAACGCCTTAAACTCTCAACTTTCTTCATTGTAACACGAAACCGAATTGAGATTTTCCTCGTGAGCATTTTCCAATAAATCTACCGATACTAATAAGCAATCATCAGTCGAGTTCACTGCCCAATCCCTCGACACTCAGTGTGAGCTGCCTCAGTGCCTGTTTGGCCACTTCGCACAGGACTCCCTCTTGAGAGCACTTGTCCTCGTACTGCAGGATTTCCACGCACTCCTTGAGCAGGTCTATGGCGTCGACGAGACGGGCCCGCAGTTCACCGCCATTCAGTTTGCTGGCTATGAACCCACTCTTCGCCAGTAGTACCAGCGGAACATGCAGCTCGTACAGATTCATGGCCCGGGAGCGACTCAGGCCTGGCTCGAATTTATTGAGAACGCTGAGCACCTGACGACAAAGTTCCGCCTTGCGCTCCAGCAAATCGTCTGACAGCTGAACCATCTCATAGCGCTGCACCCGGCCGTACATCTCGATGAGCAGCTGCCTCAGTCCAGTGGCAATGAAGTGAAGCGGATGGAGCAGAGATTTGTACTTTCGCAGGAGTCGTTCAGCCTCCTCCAGCCGATGCGGGCCCATTTCAAGAGCTTGCACCCCACTGACCTCTGACTGGATCGACTTGATTGTGGTCTCCACATCCACGTTGCTGGTGCTGGCGCCGCAGCTACAGCAGTTCCAACTAGTGTCGACTTCTGTGATATTAGGCGGAAAGGGAAATGAGTGGAAGCCCCTCTCAAAAACGTGGGATCGAACGCTCACCTGTGGGCTGCTTGGACGCTAGGAAGCCCTCCGCGCACTGGCCACACTTGAGGCTGGAGAAGTGAGTCTGTAGTTCTGTCGGATCCAGGCAGCGCTCGCAGTTGCAGGTAAAGAATTTTCCCTCTCGCAGGTGCGTCTGTCTCTGGGCAGTGCCGTCCAGGGTGTAGGTGTAACTGTGGTGCAACGGCTGTCCATCGTCCAGGTCTACCATGGCACGCAAGCGGATCCTATGGGCAAGGCACAGTCAGAAAGAGTGTGGCGGAGTTTTGTTGGGATTGTCATATTCACTTGAAACCCTCGCTGGGATAGATACTCCTGGCAGTGTTGGGCACACAGCTGTGGGCCAGAATACCCGTGTAGGGATAGAGGCATCTCAGAGGATATCCCCTCGCGGTTCTCGCCTCGAACGCGTTCACTTCCAGCACTCCGACCACCTGCATGATGAGCTCCTCGCTGAACCGCGAGGCCAGCTTGCAGGGACCGCGCAGATACTGGGCTATGTTCACGAGGTCTGCATGCCAAACATCCTCGTTGAGGCGACGCTCCGACTCGTGGTGTTCCATAGGCGCCACCTCGACCTCCCAGCGCTTGGGATTCGCCTCCTTGGCTAGCAACACTCTGCAATTGACGGAGATCATAAGGTTATGCGACAGATCGAGGTCTATTTTTGTTCCCTCGTCGAGTTTCACTTTCACCTGAGCGGCAAAATACAGTCCAGTTGTGGGCAGTAGCTACTGCCCGAGGGAAGTCTGTAGAATCGAGCCCCAGAAATTTGGAACTCGCGACACTCCAGCTGGACGTGCGGGCTATCCTCGTTCTCGGAACACTCCTCGCACAGCGGCCAGCCGCATAGGACGCAGAGCTCCTCCACATCGGTTGCGGGTGCGGGTCGACAGCAGCCGAGGCATACCACCGGTCCATTGCACTTGGGCCCTATGGCAAACGGTAGTTCCTCTATGAGAAGGCTGCGGGCCGGCGTCGACTCTTGGGCCACCAGGTAGCGCCCACAGACGGCACTCCACTGCACTGATGTGCGATTTACTGGGCGCGATGTCGCCGACGTCATATTTCTGACTGACTCGTACCTGCAAAGTCAGCCATCTACGCCATCTGCCATCAAGAAAGCCAAATCTCTTAGCCTGCCCAAGCAGAAACATTAATATTTCACAGGAACAGTGGAGCGAGCAGGCGATGGGAACGTCAAACCGATTCGAAGAATCTGTCAGTTATTGGTCGGTTCAAGTAGCGAAATAAACATCTAGATGCATATGCAATGTAGTCAGGCATTCTTCTTGAAGTTGCAAGTTCATGGGCCACATGTCAGATCCCACGTATGGCGCTTTTTACATTGGACTTGGAGCACTGTGCCGGGAACTGTATCGTTGCCTTCTGATCTTCGCCAACAGACTGCGCTGCCGTCTCTGACGTCGTCGGCGGCCGTTGCTGCTGGGGTTTCGCTTTTAGCCGGCTCACGTTTAATTTAGACGAAATGCTTTGCGGCTGCCAAAAATAATATTTTCATACGCCTCCCTGTCTGGCTGCCTTCCACCCTGATCTCAGGCACCCCCTGGACCACCCACAAACTAACCTCAAAGGTGTTATGCAATCCAGCTGCGTACAGACGCCATCCTCGCTCACATTGCCGGCGAATGTGACGCGAGCAGCAGAGAATACGACGCATTCGCTCCGATGATGGATGCCGTCATCATCGCCGCCAGCGCACACTCCACACAGCGGCCAGTCGCAAAGCTCACAGCGGTCCAGGGAGTCCCCATCTTCGCCGAACTGTAGGTACTGGTGGCACCCCAGGCATACGATTCCGCTGTCCCTTTTGGGGCCGAAGGCGAAGGGCAGCTCCTCCACAAGTAAATCCCCGCGTTGGACTGGCTCCGCGACGGCCAGGCAACGGCCAAAGACTGCGTCGTGTTCCAGCCGCGCCTTCAACATATTTTCACTGCACTCGAATTCGAATGAGCATTGTTCCGTCACGATCGATAAATGCAACTCAATTGCTTGGAAGAAAGATGTCTAAAAATAGAGTACTCTCTGACGAATAAATGATCGCCTTTGCCAGAATTCGCATATTGACGAATTGGGCTGATTGATTGATTGATAAATTAAAGCATTGATTAATAATCCATTGAACCATATTGAACCATTTTAACGCCTTTTGAAGGCCCGTTAAGATAGAGCCCAGCTGATTTGGAAGCTTGCACCATCCTCAGCGAAAAGCTCTCTTCTACGGCTCATGATAGGGACTCATGGCTATTAGGGCGTCAATATGCGGGTTTTATTGGAACACTGGAGAAGGAGGATGCTCGAAACAGGCACCCAACGCAGGTTGAAACAACAAGGGTTTCAAACCCCATCTAATGCAGACCATGGACTCAAAACATTGGAAAATTGCTTTGCGGCTCAAGAAAAATTTGACACTGTGCCTTCTGAGCCGCCAATCAATTCAGTTCCTCCCGGCAAAAACTTTTTGATTTTTTAAACACCAATATTGCTAATATGGGGAAAGCAGATCGGGTTGATTCTATCAACTAGGCCAATATATGCAATTACACATATATTTTATATGGAAGTAAAATTTTGAAAAAAACCGTTACTATCGATAATATTGAATTTCTCAACTATCGATGTATCTAACAGCCAGTGAATCGGTGTTTCACATCTGTTCGAAAATCCCACCATTCCCCCGGGATGGGCTCAGCGTGCATTCTCGCATTCATGTGGCAATAATGGCATCTGGGGCGCCTTGTTCTGTATCTGCACTCCACGCCGATGCGGTAGAATCCTATAATCCGGGATTTACACGGCAGCGCGGAGAATATTTTGATAAGGACGGTAATCCTTTAAATTTGTTGTAGCTGCCATAGCAACGGTTTCGTAGAACAAAAAGTTTATATTGGCATTGATTTTTTCCATGGGTAAATTAGTTATTTAATTTAAATTTAAGTTCAAAATATAGAATATCGTTCGCCAGAACAGCCAAATTGTGCTATCGATAGATGATAGTGTTGGCCAACGGCAAAATTCCGACAAACAGCTGTCCCACAGAACTTTGAATGTATCATCTTTCGTTTCTTTCGCCTCAATTTCACCTTATTTTATAAGCAAACCAGTAAAATGGGGTCGTTAAAGATTACTAGTCTAGTAGGGAAATTAAAAGGACAATCTGATAAAATTATGCGTTTGGAGTTGAAGGTCAAAGGTATCTACTAATGTTGAACCGAATATCAATATCGAGGATTATGGTTTCCAATCCTGGACTGCGAACGATTAACCCATTGTAGGCCAAGGGGGTTTTTTAATATACCATCGAAAATTATGCAAATTTAATCATTTTAGCGCAGTTCAAGTGCAAGACATCATGGCTTTTTTTTTAATTTGAAGAATTATGGCATGGATCTACAAGAAGACAAGAAGAAGTAATATTTTCCGCCATAAGGTTTGAATAAATTGTTAAATTGCTTAAATAAAGGGGGCTTAAGAGGGCTAACTTCGATTTCTTATCGATATACAAGAAATCGCCGTAGCATGAAAACAAGTCAAGTATTTAAAAGCCAACAAAACAAGAGAACACGAGAACACGAGAACACGTTCGGTTCGTACTTTTAATTGCACGGAAAATCCATCTCGGGGAAACGTGTAAATCGCGTGAACAACCATCAAAATGCAATGACTGCGCGCAACAAAAGCAACAGCAAGCACACACAAAACCAAAGCAACAACAAGAATTAAATTGAAAACGCAACTAAATTCTCGGCCGCGTGTTTTCTTATTCCTACGATTTCTCCCGCTCTTTCGCTTGCAACAAACTGCATAATGTGTGTGTGCGCGCGTGTGTGTTTGTATTGAATAATAATAAAAAGAATACGAATAAAGGGGAATATTATTAAAACAAAAGTGAAATTAAACACGTGCTATCCGTTCTCTCTCTCTCACACTATCGCGCGCGTGTTGTTGTTGTTGTAACTTTGCTTTTGCGTTTTTTGTTTTGCCCCGCAATTCGTTCGCTCTCGGTCGTTCCATTGACTGTTTTGCCGGTTCAGGCGCTTTGATTTACAGTTGGATTGCATTTCTGGATAATAACAAAAAAGGAAACCCAGCAACAAAATGGTGCAGGTCAGTCAAAAACGATGGAAAATATTCGTACACGGGATACAGGGGTACCCCTCAGTTGTGTGGAAAACTAAAATTTAAGAACCATTTATTTGTAATTGGGATTTTAGAGTATTCTGTACTCAACACGAAGGTGTTAATTACGGAAATGATTCTTAGAAAGAGTTTTTTGAGTAGGATAAGGATTCCAGAATTTCCCACTGTACAATGCTCTGAAATGGGAATATGGCGTGTAAAAATGAAAGATTGTGGAAGATTGATTGTGATGAAGGTGGATATATATAAACCCTATCCGAAGAAAGACTAATCTTTGGAGATAAAAGTGAAAAAAAAAACATAGACGGAAAAGTTTTTTAGTTAATTTTCTATATATACTAATGCTGCCCAGAATTTTTGAGTATTTCCACTGTACTTTCTTTTCCCCTGATTCCCTTACGTGATATTTTTGATCTATCAAAATACAACCAATATTTATTCCCACTTTTACACCATAAATCCCCATTTTGACTGCTCATATAGCACCGTACGAAAATCCCTACAAAGTCAAGTTTTACAATGGTTTCAAAATCCCTAAATCATAAAATTGGGAAACATTTTCGTGTTTTTTGTTTTTCCCTTCCACCCCATGGAATAGGCCTTTGCTGCTGACCTTTTGACGTAACGTGTGATACGGTATACAACCCTCTGCAATTCCAATTCCTGAATGGGACACTAGGACCTGAAAGTGCACCACCACCACCCCAGCCCCCGAGAAACGATCCACGCCTCACCACCCCAACGCGTAAAACCCCCCTCCAGCACCCTTGCCGAGCAATGCAGTGTCCCAAACGGGAATCAACCACCACCAAAAGAGCCGACGACGGGAAAAAATTGAATATTCCGATATGGAAAAATCCCAATTGGCTTCGGGAGTTGCCAGGGAAATTGCAGGACCATTAGAGGAGGAGGCGGAGGAGGAGGAGGTCCTTGCGCCTGTCTGTCGATGCGTAATGAACACCGAAAAACGTTGCATTTAGTCAATTTTCCATCCACGAAGCGGCTGCAAGCGGATCGGCAAAAGAAAAACATAAAATTGCCAGCTATCTAGGATAATCAAGGATGCGACCCGGGGGATACCCTGAGAAGAAAATAGAGATACTTTCATATATTTAAGAATATTTCCAAAGCTCTTAGAATTGCGTAGATCTCTTGGAAAACAAATATATATTTTTCTGGAAATAAACCTTTTAGATAAAAGATATATATTTCTCAGAAACCCATCATCAATCAAAGGATTTCTAATGTGCCTATAATATAGTTTTCCGATGCTCTAGATTTGTGGAAAACCATCGAACTTTAGGACTCCCCTTTTGATACCCTCTAAAAACAGAGATTTTCACTAGCTCGACTCTTACCTGCCGCACACCTCCCCCCTGCAACCGCCGAATATCTGAAGTTCCAGTTTTGGATTTGAAATGCGTTTTGCGACCAACTGTCCTCCACGTTTCACATCCACGTGTCCTGTACGGGTGGAGGAGTCTGGGACACACACACACACACACACACACACACAGAGATTCGGTCGAAAGCAGAACCAGGTCCCGTTCCCATGCTGCTGCTGCTGCTGCTGCATCCACGTCAAAGCGCATTTTGCACATTTGCATTTGCCGAGGCCTGGAGTATATGGGGGAGGAGGGGGGTGGGATGTACGGGGAGGCGGAGTGGGGTGGTTCAGTGGGGTGGTTCGGTTCGGTTTTGGTTGCGCTTTGGCCTATGTTCAATAGCTAAAAACGAGGCATTTCTGACGTTTGACCGAACTTTGTTGCTGTTGTTCCACTCCCGGACTCTCCTGCCTTCTGCCTCCTGCCTCCTGGCTCCTGCGACTCTCTCCTGCCCCTGCTTCTGTTGCTAATGGCATACCCGGAGAGGGGAAGGGAGGATGGGGTACACAGGAGGGTAATAGGCACATTTGTACACTGGACTTTGTACCATAACCCATTCCCACTCTCCCGGGGAGTCTCTTATTTTGTAACTGCATCCCCGTGCAGCCCCGTGCAGCCCCCGCCCCCGTCCCCCGCCCCGAAGCCTCGAATGTTCTAGGCACAAAAATTTCAACGAGGATAACAGACACGGGACCCATGCTAATCAGGACAATTAAGTTAATAGTAGTACTAGTATGTATCCGTGTAGGCATAGGGTTATATGTGTGTGGGTGGGGAAGAACTAAGGATCCCAGACAGAGAGGAAAACTATTAAACAGAAAATATTGGAAAGAGATATGAAGTGTTTTATAGCACTGGTCCTCCAGTGAACGAGGTTAATTCGCTGCTGAAATGTTCCCCTAAGCGAAAGGATACTTTTGTTTGGAATGAGTCGAACGGCAGGCGATTTGGGGACTTGGAACTTAAGAAATTGTTTCAAAAAAATGTTTTGAATAAAGATCTAAAGATCTTTTTTTTAAAATTGTTTAAACAAACGCAGAATTTACCCCAAATTTATATCCCTTTATTGATAAAATGTAAAAATTTTAGAAAGTAAATTCACCCCCTCGTTGGCCAAACTTTGTTTCTTATTCCTATGGAAATTCCCTGTGCTATTTGTATGGCCCGGACTTTATTCCTAGGGCTTTTTTCTTGGGCTGGCGTTGGCTTGGGCGGCAGGGCGCCAGCTTCCGTTTGTGGGCTCCCTCCTTGGACTCCACTTTGTGCTGCCTTTCGAATCACTTTGCTTGCCACGCCCCCGCTGCCCCAACTCCGCCACCCCCCAAAGTGTGTTTCCATGGCAAAATGTTGAAATGTTCCATCCTTTGGCTTCCGATTCGATTTCTCGTGCCCTGCCTTGTCCGCCCGCTGCCTTGAGGGCACTTTCCTCTCTCTCTCTCTCTCCCTCCCTCTCTCTCTGTATCCCTGTGTGAAAAGGTTTTTCTCCTCTGAAAATGATGTAGGTTTTCCACGTGTGCTTCTGCTGCCTGCTGCGTGCTGCGTGCTGCCTACTGCCTGCCTCGTGTGTGTGTGTGTGCGTGTGCGTGTGCTTGTGCGCTTTGCTTTTCAATTATCAAATGCATTTCCCTCCAGTTTTGCCTTCTTTCTTTCAGTTTGCCTGTGCTTTTCCTCCCCAACCATCCCCCGCTGATTACCCTCGTTTTTCTTGTGTATATCTTGTGGTTGGCGAGCCTTCTGGGAGGATCCCCATTGATCGCGTGTAGCATTTAGTCCACCGCAGGCGGCGGTGGGGGATCGGTGGGGACAAAGCGTCCCCCGAAGACGATCGAATCCCCGCTGGTGTGATACATCAGTGGCTCCTGTCCAGTCCCTAAGGATAAAAGCAGAAATAGTTGGTTCTTCGGGATGAGTGGCAACAGTACCTTGAGAAGCGGAAATCCTTGTCTGGATTGCACCCGAGAATGTCTGGGCACCTGCCCCGAAGCTGGCGGACCTCGGAATAGCCCAACGAAAGGAATCTTCAGCCAATAAGTTGGCCTGCTGCTGGAGTCGCTGGGCATGCTGCTGTTGGTAGTTTTCCTGCCCAGCCGGAGTCTTGGCACGGAGCATCGCACAGATAATGGGATGGAGAAAGATGCAGGCAAGACAGAAGAAGCCGATTGACTGGTGATCCGAGGCACTGAAGATCAACCAACAGGCGATGCCTCTGAGAATGAAACGATTGAGGCGACCAGTTTGGCGATTATCTAGCCGCTGGAAGACCACACAGAGGGCACACCAGCAGGCACAAAAAGCCCGAACCAACATGCTGGGTCGCTCGTAGAAGACCTCGCGCAACGCCGTCGACAGGGATCCCTCGCGCAACAGCCGGAGATGTCCAGTATCGTAAATCGTTATCCAGGTGCCCAGTTGGAACCCCAGGAATGCCGCCAGGCCGTACAGCAAACGGCGAGAGGCCCCGACGCGTGGCGCAGCCCGCCACAGGAGGAAACCCAGGCAGAACTTTGTCACCCGCCACTTGTCGGTGTTGGTGGTCTCCAGAGTCAGTTTGAAGCCGTGGTCCGTGTAGACCCCATAGCAGATAGGCTTATTGGCCCTCAAATTGATGTACTTATCCTTGGCCGTCACGGCCTTGCCCTCGGCCCACTCCTGTTGATGCTCACGGGCCAGGTGGATCTTATGGTCTGTCTCCTCCATGTACTGACTGTACTCCGCTCCTTCTTCGATTTCCAAATGGAGGCAATTGCTTTTGAAAATCGTCAAAAAGGAAAATGGCTCCCCTTTCCAACAAAACACTTGGACGTAATTGTTGTTGGTGTACCGCTGCACCAGGCTCTGTGCCTTCCGGATGTGTGTGTCTCCAGGTACAGGAAACATCGGTGGATCATGGTGGAGGCCATTTTGTAGCGCCAGGATCGGCATCAAAACCAAAAGGCAAATAGCAGAAAGATATTTGAACATTTTTCAATTGTATGTTTCACCGAGTCAAACTTTGCTATGAGGTTAGGTTATCCTACAGTAGAGTCAATGATCTATTGTTTCTATAATCCCTGAAATGTGTTAACGCAGAGAAACTTTGCAGTATTTTTCTGAATCTTTGGTTTGTGTTCTCTTGAGGTTTCATCTGTCATTCTAGCAAGTTTAATCAACATCGGATAATAAATCCAAACAGAATTGGAAGTTCCATTAATTTTCCACTTCAGGATTCATCTCTCCATCTATGTCAAAGGATACGCAGGGAATGTGCGTGTGTGTTCCTTGAGAAACGCATAAAAAAGGCGAGAGAAATATTTGCCTACGAAATTGTGTCTCTCTGGCATTTCTGATGCTTCCTTTTCGGGCTGTGCATTTTTTTTCTACGCATTTCTCGGAGATCCTTTGTGCCACATTTTCCCTCAATAGACGCTGTGGCAGGACTTCCCTTTCATGCATCCTTCGTTCTATTTCCACTGCCACTTTTTTTTCGACTGACTTGGAAATAGTACGCGCGGCGAGTACGCCGTACTACTACGAGCCATTTACACATGGGAGGAGGCCTGCGCTTTCTCCTTCTTCAGGGACCTCGCCAGCAAAAGTCAGGGG